CCCATCCCTACCTCCTCCCTCTCTACCTGCTCCTTCATGCTGTTGTTGTTGTTGTAGGTGTCTTCAAGTTGAGTGCTCCTAACGACTCCATGAACAGTAAGTCTGAAGCAAGTCCTAATCAGGTGCTGTCCTCATCATAATTGACACACCTGGCCGATTGCTTCAGTCATTGTGTCAATACATCTGGTCGAGGATCTTCCTCTCTTTCCAAGGAAGTTGTTTTGTTGTTGCATACCATTGGATCTGAACCAACCCATAACTGACCGTCCAGTGGGTTTTTAGAGGCACAGGAGGATATTACTCATCTTTCTCCTGCAGAGTAACTGGTGAATTCAAACTGCTTACCTTTGGGATTGCAGCACAGTTTCTTACCACTAGGCCAACAGAACTCTGTAGAGCCTATCTTTATTTTCTGAGCTTCACTGCAGTCTCAAAGGCATGCATGTCAAATCCACCGGCTGCTTTGTGGGAGAAGGATGGGCAACCTTCTCCCATGAGATTTACAGCCTCTGAAAACCTGCTTGAGGATCAGCTATGGGTCAGTTCTGACTCAATGGTATACAACAACAAAGGCACAACAATAAAATAACACAACAGTAACTCCCTACCACAGATCACAATGTTGCCCCCTTCATTTCCTTTAGGACTCGCCTGCAGCCTCTCTTCCCCTCCCAAGCATTCTCAAAAATCTCTCTCTCTGAATTGATGACCACTCTCCCCCCACCCCCAACTGCCTGCTCTAGGTAGGTTCTCTCCCCTAACTTGTGACAGTTAACATATTCCTAAATCACATTTTCTCCAGCCACTCAATCCCTCAGAGCTGTTTCTTCCTTTGTGAAATTGGACACTAACACCAAAGGATATGAGAATTATGACAGTGGGTGCCTAGTGAGCAGATACATACTAAGAGCTTTTGCGCTTTCTCTCTTGTAATCCTCACAGTCCACAGACAGTATCATTAACTAACCAGTTGTCAGTGCAACCCACTAGGGTTCACAGTGATCCCATTACTGCATTATTGAGGAGGAAATGAAAGTACTTTCCTCCAGTCAGAAGGCCCTCACCCCACCAAGCCACAGGGTCCTTTCCTGTTTGGTTACTCCCTCCCCACAATACAAAAAGCTTGAGATGGTTTCTCTTATGTACATCTGTTTATCCCTAGGTCCTAGAGCTGCGTCTGACATATAGTAAGTACTTGGTAAATTATTTTCAGAAGAGTAATTCATGTATGAATAAATGTAACCAGTGACAGAGCCTGGATCCTAGCTCTTGACTCTGGCTCCACCACACAGACCTCACTCAGGGAGCTGGCTGCTGTGGAGCCCGTTAGTGTGGGTTCTGGCACCCACAGGCACTCACACATGTGCAGCTGCTGTTGCTGCTGTGATTGGGAAGGAGGGGGAAGAAAAAAGGAAAGTGGGCAATAAGAGTGGTGTAGTCTTTAAGGGCCATTGAGTTACAGTGACCCTGTGAACATCGGATTTCAGCCCTGCCCTATCCTCTGCAGTCCCATCATCTCAGATGTACCTCCTGAGACCACTATTACAGTCACTATCCATGTTGTAGAGGATCTTCCCCTCCTTTACTGACCCTTCACCTGTCTCAGCATGGTGTCCTTTTCCAAGGACTAGCCCTTCCTAACAACATGCCCAAAGTATGTGAAATGAAAGAGAAAAAGAATAATTTGAATTAGACTTATAATTTGTAAATCGCTACTTATATTTGTAAATCCATACAGGTTCTCATGGCCTAGTCAATAGGACGTTGCACTGCCAGTCTAAAGGCAGAAGGTTCGAATTCGTCAGAGTAAGATGGGTAATTTCTCTATTTGAGACTTAAAGCCTCTGAAAGCATGCTGGAGGGGTCAGCTATGAATTGGTTCTAATTCTACAGTAATTTTAAGGAGATATATGAGATCACACCCAAGATCTATGTCCACAATCACCAGAGCTCCCCCAATGCACACAAAGTCCATGTCCTAGCAGTGCCCAACACAGGGTCAGCCCCAGCAGGGCTGGGCAGGAGAGGCCAGGAAAAGAATCTCCACCCTTTCGAAATAGCAAAGAGATAGAGGCCTAGAGGCCACCAAGCCACCCAGGGGTGGCCTGGAAGCCAAGAAGTAACCCACAGGCTCCTCCTCTCCAAACAGGACACTCCCCCGCCCCCTCCCCCCCCCTTCTCCAACCAGAGTCACCGCTTCACCATCACA